TTTATGCTCCTCAAAGAGAAAAAGAAAATGCAAAAGCATCTTCCATAAGAAGGCTTCCTACTGTCACATAATATTTTATCTCTGCTTTTAATCAAACAAGGCTGACAAAAATCAGGGGACAGTGGGGCCATACTACCTATCTTAAAGCAGAAGGTGGGATGAATAATCACTAGTCGTCTGTAGCATCTCTCACTGTCTGGGGCAGAGGAATGGAACCATCAGGTCGGATTTTGCACGCGTCAGGCTGCATGGCTTTAATGAGGTATCTGTGCTGAGCATGTGGGAAGGACAAAAGGTGAACAGGTACAGCCAACAGAAAGCACAGTCATGGGGTGACAGGGTAATGGCTTCCAGGGGAAGACATTTTCCAAGAGACGCTGAAAATAAGGAGTTAGACAACACTTGCTCCTAAACGTGCTACTTAAAACTGTACCAAAATAACCATCCTAACCTAGGTTAGGATGAATGGCTGAAATGGAGCCAGAGTAAGAGGCAGGCCTGGAAAAGGGTGGGATGGATCCATGTGTCCTGTCTTCAGCCCTGGCCAACCTGCTCCATCCCAAGTTGACTAAATTCCACATCCCAGAGCGGGCTCTATCCAGAGCTGCTGCTGGCAGCTGCTCTCCTGGCAGCAGAGGCAGACAAATTCATGGCATTGCTGGGCCGACAGCTGCTGCAGCTCTGGGGGAAGTGACAAGTGCCTGCTGAGAATGAACTATTCTGGGACCAGTCACAGAGTCAGCAAAATTAGGCTACAGTTTGCTGGCTGAATGAAGATACAGTACACTTCCTACTCTGAAGTTTAGAGAACCAAAAAGTGAGTTCTCTGTCCGAGCTTGTTTGACTCAGGTGGTTCCTGCCTTCACTTTCTGCTCCATCTTTTCTGTTCCCAAGGGCACGACTTCTATGGTGGCTCATATTACCCTCCCCGCCGCACTGGACTACCACACCTCCCCCTATGTCCTTTCATCTAGTCTTTCTAAAGCACGGACACAATTCAGTTCCTTGCTCAGAAACTGTCAGTGGCTCCTTTATCCTTACATAACAAAGCCCTAACCCAATCGGCCAGTATTTATAAACCTCTGTAATCTTCTGGCTTATCAACTTTTCCAGGTTTATTTAGTATTATAGTTATAATTCATATTGTTCAGAAAAGCAGGTAAGTTATCCACCAGCCATGTTTTTCTCACCTCTGGGCTGTTGGTAACACTAGTTTCTATCTAAAATACTTCCTTCTCCATCTCTTTATTCTTCTCCAAGTTCTTGCATTCTCTTAATTATATTGAATATGTAGGAACAATACACAGCATTGGCAGTTCCAGTTTTCCATTCCTATCCATTGAACTTCAGCTCCAAAGGGTTCTTCCCTAGGCCTCCAACCAGAACAAATCACAAATTTTATGTGCATTATGTGGGGTCAAGGGGCATTATTCTTTCACATACTTGTCCTCCACACACTATGACACGTAGGCAATGGTACAAACACTGTCCCTCAACATCTCTCCCCTTCTCTACTGATAGAAACTCTACTTTCTAGGTCACCCACGTTAATAAATATATCTTTTAGCTTCCCTTAATCGTGTGACTAAGTTCTGTCCAGCTGGGTAATGAGTTAAAGGCATGTATGTGCCACTTCCAGACTATACCTTTAAAGAATAAAGACATATTGCCCTCTTGCCATGTTGCTTTTCCCAACTGATGAAATGGGACATGGTAGCAATGAGCTACTTCGGGCCATACAGCAATGGACACATTGTAGGGGTGGGATAAGGAGCCTGACACTGTCCTGACCGGCGAACAGACTACTATCTACAGAACAATCTACACCCATCTTGTAGATGCTATTATTACTTAAGGTCTACTATAGCAGCCACACCTATCTCAACCAAACCAGTCATTCCTAAAATGCCTTTTATGTATTCCTCACTAGCCCCCCCCCAACAAAAAAAGGAAGAAGAAAGAAAAGGCAGGAGCACAGCTGTTTCTACAGCAATGCTTATAGTACACAGACATCTGAGCACTTGGCTATCTTCTGTAACACAGAAACGAGGAGGAAATGGGAACAAGAAGGTTCCATCACTGGTGTTCGACTGAGAAGTAGAGGTCTCATCACTGCATTCGTGAGACAAGGCAGAAGCGAGCCATGTGGACTCTTCAGATGCTCACTGGACTAAAGAAAGTAGAGCACAGCTTTAATTGTGGAAAAGAGAAGAAAATGAGAGAAAAGGTACAAAAGGCTAAATAACACCAAATGCAATGTAATTTAGAATTTCATATATACATTTATAAGAACAAAACCCATTTATTCCAAGTAAAACTGGAAGACTCTCAACTATCTGATTTTTGCTGACATTTTTAGGAATAAAACAGTCTGAACACAGGATGTTGCCTGGAGCTCTTGTTCAGTTTTTCTCCATCTTATCCCTATTGAGTGCATTTGTTCATATGACTCATCTCTTCTCGTAGTAAGCTATACCATGAGAAAGTGCTATTATGTGACCATTTTTGACCAATAAAAACCAGCAATTCAGATGTTCCATCCTGAGAGAAGAAAGCTTTTGTTTTCAGGCTCTTTTTAAAGAAGGTGTGTGTGTGTGTGTGTGTGTGTGTGTGTGTGTGTGTGTGTGTGTGTGTGTGTGTGTGTGTGTTAAATGAATACAGTACCTATAGAGGTCAGAAGGGGGCAATAGACTGCTGGAGCTACAGATGGTTGTGGGCTGCCTGGTGTGGGTCTAGGAAAGCGACTTGGCGTCTCTCTCAAGAGCAGCAAGCACTCTAAACCACTGAGCTGTCCCTTCAGCCTTTGAACTCATCTTACTCTGCTTTGCTTCTCTCAGAACGCCTTGAGCCCAAAATTGTTAGTAAGAAACTGCTTACACTACTTAGGTTAAGCTGTCCTGGAAACATTTCTAGCTCCCTGAGACACAGTATCCTCCCAGCTTTTACCTGCCTCAGAAGACTGACTCCTTTTCTCATTCTTTTTAGATACTTTCCCTTTTCCTAGCAGGAATGTTTACTACCTCCCAACACTAGGAGGTCTTCTAAGCCTTAGGTTTTTGACTCTTGGTTCTCATTCTCTCTTCTGTATTTACAATATTGTTTACACTGAAGATTTTAATAGGTATCCCACTATTCCCTCTTCTACATTTACAATATTGTTTACACTGAAGACTTTAATAGGTATCCCCACTCAAAACCACTTAGCTCAGCAGTACTACATCTCAACTTGGGTACCTAACATCTTTACGATGCCTCAAACTCAACTGCTCAAAGTAGAGTTGCTATTTAAAGCACCTGTCTCCTCCATTCCTTCATGTTCTAAAGGACACCACAATTCTTCTGGTTGCCAAGTTAGAGACACCAGGTCACCTCTAGCCATTGAGATTCTTTTTATCTAATCAGTTATCCAACCCTGTTTAATTTCTCAAATACCTCTTGAATAGTGCTATCCTATAGGCTGAAAGATTGACCAAAGGCTTGTGTGGTAAAGGCTTGTTTACTGCTGTGGTACTACTGGACAACAGCATACCCTTTAGGAGGTAGGACCTAGTAATAGGAGGTCAGGATATTCGGGGACTGTCTTTGATGGACTCCTAGCTCCATCCTCTCTCTGCTTCCTGACCATCATGAAGGAACAGGCCTGCCTCCTCCTCCCCATGCCACGTAACATCACAGGCCCCCCAAAAATCAGATCAAACAACTATGGACTTAGAACCTTTGGAACCATGAGGTAAACAAAAAAACAAAAAACACTTTCCTCCTTACAGTTTATCTTAATTATCTGGCCATAGTAACAGAAAGCCAACTAACAAAATACATCCCTACTGCTCTTTTTTATATGATGATCCAATTCTACATGCACTACCCACAAACTTTAACATCCTTCTCTTGGATTAAAAAAAAATTATATAGGTTTGCTCATACTTTTCCTTGTGTCTGTCTCAACACAGTATCTTCAAAGGCTCATTACTATGGGGCATGTCAAATGTGAACTTCTATGCTTACTATCAAAGCACTATCCTTTGGGACACATTCTACTTACTTAATCTTGTTTTTCACTGTTTTTTTTAAAATATCCTTTCTCTCCTATCTCTATTAAAGCCCCTTTTCCTATATAGTTTGCATGGCTCTTTTCCTTGGTAACCAAGCATTTCAAAGCTTATCTTATTCCCATAGGAACCAGTACAGAGCACAGTACCTAGTAGGCATTAAAAGGAGCTAACAACTGGATTATTACTTAGGATAAGATAAGACAGGAATAAGCTGGAATAAATCAAGCACAAAGTAATGGTCAAAGGAGAGTAGAAATGGCCCCCTTTTCTAGGTCCTTGCATCACCTGAATTACACCTCCACAGTACTCACTCCAACTTCAAATTACTAGACTGTAATGTGTTTACTGCCCATCTCCTCATTCTAATTAAAAGGTCACATGGAAAGGAAATGCTTACTCTCTGACATATCTCAAGGCACTATGAAGGAGTTCAAGGGATGTGCAATGGATATTAGTTGGAAGAATGTTCAACTATCTTCCCTTTGGGGCTAGCTAGGAAGACAAAAGGAATTAGCTGGAGTGGGAGGGAGCAGGAGAGGGTAGTATGATGGTATGGTGGTAGAAGAAGTATATATAATTGAAATACATTACATACATGTATAAATGTCATAAGTAAACCTATTATTAGCCATATATGCTAATACACAGACACACAGACACACACACACACACACACACACACACACACACACACCCCTTAGACCACTGGCTGACATACAGGAAAGGCTGTAAAATTCATTAGCTTGGCTCTCCATATATTCTGATCTCTCTTAGATAAAGAATTGCCCATTAAGACTGATGTGGAAAAGGAAGAGTTCTTGAGGGCTTTCAACAAATTTGAAGCTGCAGACTCAAGAAGCGACCTGGATCTAAGTGGTGCCCTTTGCCTCCCTGCACCTCAGACCCCACTCTCAAAGTTTCTAAAAGCAATTGCCATGAAGTCCCTACTTAAATTGCTGGTCCTTGGTGCTTCGTGTCTTGGCTAGAAAGCGCTCGGCTAGCTTCTCCAGGTTTCGAGAGTAGTCCATTTCAATCTCAGCCTTCTTCCGGAAGAAGTCTTGCAGGTCCTGCAACAGCTGCACCCGGAGCTCACACTGCTGGTCTAGGCATTTCATCTGCTCTGTGAGCTGTGCCCGGATCTCTGCAAGAAAACAAAAAAATGTGATCAGACAGACAGCTCTAAATATATACTGCACACACAGGTACTTACCTCCCTTTCATTCACTTGCTCCCTATACCCTGGGATATCAAAGCCCTTAATAAAACAACCTACAATTGAAACTGGCCATATGATATGAGGTACCTCCAACTCCTTCTGGACCACTGAGAACCATTTGTGACCAAGAATCTGTTCAATTCATTAGAATAAGTTGTATTAATATTCAAAGCTAAATATTTATAAAGTAATTTACTGTTTTTAACACCATCCAGAATTTGGGTTCTTTTCTGGCAAGGAGCCCAAATGAATAATCAGATGAATCATGTTACCCCCATTTCAAAGACTGAATACTGAGTCTTAAAGAAGACAAACTATTAAATCCCAGTAAGCTGGGATTCAAAGCCAGACAAATGACTATTTTTAACACTTTTCCTCGTATTTTAAAATGTTTTTCAGTATCTTTATGAAGCAGGGTAAGGATCGTTGTACTTTCATGGAGGTCGAAAGATGCCTTTTCAAGGTCAAATGGCAGCAACCAAGAACAAAACATGTACGATGACATCTAGAAAATCACATTCAAGGTCAATTGGTTTCCCAGTTTCCGATATTACCGAATGTAAATCTTCAAGAAGCTATCTTTAGAGCTGGAGGAGTAGCAAAACAATAATAGTAAGTGACTTAGGAAGAGATCTTTTTTACTGGTATTTCACTTATTCTATCCTCACAGAGGCCTGATAGCCTCAGCTCTGTCTGAGGTAGAATTATGTCCAGTTACAGTCCTGCTTGGAAGATTTCCTACCCAGTCCTTGCACAGGGCTAGCAACACAATCACTGTGGAACCACAGCAATGGCAGCTTCAGCTGCAACTGGATCTGTCTTGAACGCACTACATGCTTTACTGATAAGAGATTTGGCATTCACAGCAAATAGCCTGCCAACACTGGGCTGCTTTCTGGCCCAGAGTAGGCCCGCAGGGTATGTCCAGCTTATTTTACATCCAGTTCCCCATTAGCATCAAAATAGAACAACTGTTCTCATCCCTTTTCTCTACCAGCACACTCACCTCCAAGCATGACTCCAACCTGAGGCTGAAATACCTATGTTATGCCTTCCTGATGCATGCCTCAAACTCATTCCCCACAGCACTGGCAGATGGGGAAGGAGAGGAGTAAGTTTTCACCCAAGCTCTAGATGAAATTTTGGGGTAAGGGCCACGATGCTGAAAACTTCGCAACCACTCCTTTCTTAAAGCAATGAGGTCTGACAAAGCTGTACTGGGTTTGCCTTCGAGTACCTGAAGTCCAAAATCTATCCCCATCTTTATTGCCACTGTTTCGGCAGGTATCAGGACATGACAGACACAGCTGGTCCTTTGCAAGGGACCCTAGGTAATCTCTAAGAGCAATCTTCATCCTTATCTCTAGTCAGCCCAGCAGTAACCCAACCTGAACTGAAACTGAGCACTGCAGGATTGTTTCCAGCAAGCAGACTGCTTCACAGAAAAGCTGCTGCCTACCTCATCACTCATCAAAGCTCTCTTGTTCTTGTATTCTGGAGTCTGATTACAAGGGGTGAAGGGCTGTGGGTGTGTAAGAGATCTACAGAGGTCATGTCAGGAATCTGGTTCTTGTGGGATTTCTGGGTCTCTTAAGGGTGAAAGCCCTTGTTATGATTATTCCTAGAGGCATCTGGCCCTTTGTACACATTCATGAAAAGCTAGCAAGAACTGCTAGTAGACTGGAAGACTGTGGGTGGAGATCGTTCACGGGTCACCAGTATTACTTAAAACCTGCCCATTAAAGAGGAATAATCTCTTAGAGTAAAATGGCTGTCCAGGTGCCTAATCAGGAACAAAGGTGTAAAGGGAGATGAAGGTACACTGAGGCTATCAAGTCCCTCTGAGTCACATCTAACTCACTTAAGACTATACCTCAATAATCTCCTAGCCAGGGATGCAGAAGGAAAACTCAAGATTGTTCTAGGGACTATAGACAAAGCCCCATGATAGGAATGTCATTCAAGTAGGCTGTTCTGAAACTGTCCTATCCATGAAATAAGTACACCACAGGGGCCACCTGTGGCATATGGTAATGTGTCTTAGAAGTTCCCGTACACTTCCAACCAGCATGGGATTCCATGCTGACTTCTCAGTGAGTGAGGAGTATAGCATGAGCTGTGTCCCTTCTTGCATCCTCTTCTTGATCCTGCAGAAAAGGGCGTGTGTTTACTGAACACATTATATGGATACACACACACACTACAGCTCACTTAATTCCCATTACTACCTTCTAAGACAGTGCTAATAGGGCTCGTGGTGGTTAATGCTTGATGGAATCTATCTATTATCGACTCCGAGTGTAACCTACATTAGGTTAACTTAGGTTGGAAGATGCCCGGACTGCGGATGCCACCATTGCACGAGCTGAGGTCTTGAACTGAATACGGTAGTGAGAAAACAAGCCAAGCACTCAACGCTCTCTTCTGACTGCAGGCCTAACTGACCAGCTCCTTCAAACTCCTGCTGCCTCAGCTTCCCTTCCACAAAGGACCGACTGCTCCTCCAACGGGCAGCCAGAATAAACCCTTCCTCCTTTAAATGGTTTGTCACATATCTTACCACAGAAGCAGGAAAGGCAACTAAGACGGGACTAAAGCTAACTTCACATTTATTTATCTGACTTGTCAGAGCAGTGAGAAGGCAACCCCCCAAGGACAGCATTTCGGGGTAAATCGGCGACCATGGACTTTTACTCTCTGGGACTTTGACTTTGTCTTCCTGCTGAAGAATGATTCAGGGTCCCAGGATCAAGTTTAGGTTAGGACAAGTTAGCCCGTATTTTGACTAATCCACAACCAGGCTGGATCCCTTCCCTACATCCTAAATCTGTTCTCCATGGAAGTGTCAAAGAAAGTCCTTCTTTTCGCTTATGAGCCCATCCTGGGGTATTCAATAAGTACAAAGGATAGGGAAGGGGAGAAAATGATATCCCCACCCCCTCACCTGTTCCTGGTTTGTGATATGGCACCCCTCCCCTACAACATGCCTAGAAGGAAGTCTCTCCTTTGTTATCATTCCCAGAACATTGAAGAAGGCAATAAGAAGGATTCTAGCCCACTGCTCCAGGACAGAATGGCTGTTCTGTGGAGAGTAGAATGTACTGCTGCTGTTGTTACAACAAACAGTGGTCCTCAACAAGGCAGCTGGGCCAGCCTCTGTCCATGCACACACGGAAAAAGAAACAATAGGTACTGATTGTCAGCACACTTGGGCCATGTGCCCAGGCTGGAGACCCCGCCATACCCTGGCTGACCATAAGGCAGAAAGAAAAAGGGGCGATTTATAAAACCACAGGGAATTTCTCAAAAGCTCTCTGTGTGCTCATGTGGGTATGCATGTGGGCTTGTGAACACACTCAAAGACACACTATTCACATCATGTTCTACCACACCAAATTAAGAAGACGTCACAAGTCTCTTTTAGAGTTGGCAGAGAAGTTCTAGGAGATGATGGGCCCTTATAGCTTCTTTCACTAGAATTATGGGAAGAAGCCAAGCTCTACTTTATAAAAGCAGTTGTCTCTGAGCTATGACTGCTTCCCTGGTTAGCCATAAAGTACCACAGTACTAAGGTCATCGTGAATGAGCTGTGTGAAGGGAGGAATGCCACAAGGGATTCCCCCCTTCACACCTGAGTCTTTTGGGTTTTGCTTTGAATATTCCTTACTATATAACAAACCCAGAGAAGTAAATTCCAATGTGAAGATCTAAGAGTTAAATGTACCCAAGACAGAAAGAAACCAAACTGTAAATCTTAAGAAAAATTCAATGTCTGTTGACTATTTTCTACCACATTTTAAAATGATACAAGAAAAAAAAAACTTGCTTCTCTTGAAGGACCAAAGTTTTTAAACAAGTTTCCTAATACTCAAGAGTGGCCTTTGCTATTTCATTCATTGATTCAAGTCAAAATTTAACTTTGCTGTTTTGCTTTTGCACAGTTTTGTGAGTTTATGAAAATACACCAAATTACTTTAAAGATGTGAATTTTATAGTATGTGATCTCTCTCTCTCTCTCTCTCTCTCTCTCTCTCTCTCTCTCTCTCTCTCTCTCTCTCTCACACACACACACACACACACACACACACACACACACTCTTTAACTCCACCAAATGTGTTCTGTTGAGTACCATTCTGCCAACTAACAGGCAGGGAAATGGCCCCAGACACCATAAGGAATCCTTGGTTTCTATTTCTCTACTTTTAGGGTTAAATCAACTCTGCACTGATTATTATTAAAGCAGTGTGTCTGGTCAGCAGGCTCAGCCATGACACTAAACTCCACCGGCTAGCACACCACTATTCTACTATTTTCAGAGGATGTCAGATCAAAACATGGCAATGAACGCTTTATGTTCAAACTCAGGATCAGCAGACATAACCAACAGTTTCCCCTGGGCAGTTCTTCCTTCTTGTCCGTGCCTGGTTACAGCTGAGACACACTAACTACACGGCTTGAGAGTTAGAAGGAGATTTTTATCTTACTTAGAAGAGATGCTGCTGCCAGGTTTCAATACGGGTATCACTGGAAGATACTTGATCATTTAGCAAAAATAGTCAAGGCCCTGCCTCACTCTAAATGATAACACCTTCCGGTGCAGATGAGACAGTCCTCTGGAAACTGTCCTCACTTCAGAGAACACCTGGTGAATTCATCGAAGTTCAGATGGGGATTGTGTTCCCTATTGCTTCAATCCTAGGATAAGAGCTCGTTACTTTTGCCTTCCAAAATCCATCTCCATATTCTAGAACTTTCTCTAATTCAGTCATAAATACCACACATTTAAGGAGAAAACTGGAGCAGGAAGGCAGGTCAGAAAAAAAGAGATAGATTCTTTTAGGAAAGTCACACAGGTCTCTCCTTCCCTTTTCAGTGTGCTGGCATCTTGGAGACAGGTGCTGTGATTCCCACAGGCGCTGCTGCC